AGTGAGAAAGAATAATTTCAGCCCTTCATTTATAGTACTTCCACTTCTTCCCTCCATCCACGTTTTCTCATAATAGCTTTATAAAACATAATACAACACCCACCCAAAGTGTTCAATGGTCTTTAGTATTTCATGGATTATAACTATCACAACTACCTACATTTCAGACCATTTTCATCAAGGCCACCCTCAAAAAAAGGCAAAAACTCCCAGACGCCAATCTCCTTTCCCCCCACCCATGGCGTCACTTGTACTTTATCTGCCAAATGTCCGTTATGATTCTTTCCTAGAAATGCAATCACACACTACATGGTCCTCTGTGACGGGTTTCTTTGCACAGTTTCAAGGTTTATCCATGTTGCAGCACATATTAGAATTTCATTTCTCTTTTTGGCCAAATAGCATTCAGTTGTATGATAAAAACACATTTTCTTTACCCATTCACCAGTTGTTGAACCCTTGGGCTACTTTCATTTGGGGGCTAGTCTGAATAATGCTGCTGTGAGCACTTACATACAGGGTTTTTCTGTAGATGTACTTTTTTAGTTTGCCAGTCGCATCAATCAGGGAACTCTAATGCCGCGGTGGGCTAAGCATTGAGCTGCTAGCTGAGAGGGTGGTAATTCAAGTCTCCACCCTGTGTGGACAAAGATTTACAGCCTCAGGAACTCTATGGGGTTGTTATGAGTCACAGTCAATTCAGCAGTAGTGAGTTTTAGTTGTATCACCCAACTGCAAGAGGGATGGACTTGCTGGGTCATACAGCAACTCCTTGTATTTAACCCTTTCCAGAACTACCAGACAAACCAGCTGCACCATTTTACAACCCAACCAGCATTATGAGGGTTCCAATTTCTCTCTGGCTTCATCAACTGTTTTTATTATACCAATTCCTAGAGGCTGTAAGGTGCTAGTCTAAACACAAGTGTTCTTGATGGGCTCCATTTTAAAAACTCTCTTACCCGCTACTGCCACTATACATCACTATACATCACTTCTGGTTAAGAGTAGTCAGCACATCCTTGGGCTTGTATGCACAAATTGTTTTGAAATTTTGATTCAGTTCCTGGCTCTTTGGCTATGTTCTGTGCATGACAATCACACCTTTCTACTCATCTCAGGAAAAAAGTCATCATTCTAATGAAACAGTTCATTTCACTTGCAGTGTAAAAATATAAAACTATTAAAACTGGCACCCTGGGGGCGTAGTGGGTTACACATTGGGCTGCTAACCACAAGGTTAGCAGTTGGAATCCATCAACTGCCCTTAGAGGGCAAAGATGAGGCTGCTTGGTTTTGAGCTTTGGTATTGAAATTATAGCCAAAGTGTATTATACTACCAAAAATGGCAATAAACTGTAAAAGCTGGGATCTTTGCTTGTCCTTATGTAGCATATTTTAAAGCAAAATTGCCCCCTGACTTGATATGAAAGAGCTCCAGACCTAATT